GCTTCCAGTTGGCTCGTTAGCTCAATTGGTAGAGCGCTGCACTAGTATCGCAGAGGTCAGTGATTCGAATCTCGTACAGGCCTGATTTTTTTCAGGTCTGATTTTCGCTATTGCATAAATAGCGCTCTCTACTGCGAGGATCGTGCATCATACGTATCTATAACCGCAGTTCGAAATATATGAACTTCATATAATTATTCATCGTAATATAGTCAGTATAACATAGTCGGTATCTTTATCCGGTCTTTTTTTATTGAAGGATCAAACAAAACTTTAGTCGTCTATTTGGAAAGCGTATGGGTGTGCTCCACCAAGAGTGGTACACCGTCTTGGAGGATTACATTGGGTGGAAAAGATTCGAAGTGTAAAAAGTGAACGAAAAATGTTATATGGACGGGATTGCATCAGCGGAACTAAACCCTCGTTTAACACTCCTAAAAATTCCTATTTTTCATATGAAACCCGACGTCACATTTTCCGCCTTTTCAAACTTTGCTTTATTTACTTGGTTCGTCTATTGTTTGGAATAATGGCTACAGCAAGATTTGTTGTGGAAAGGACGAGTAAGCAAAGAAGATTTAAATGCATTTTCCAAGCAACAGGAGAGCGAGAACACCTAAAAGAAAGCGCTGTTTTATCTCAAAGGCTTTTGACTCTGTGTGCCATGGAAAAATTTTGTCAAAGCTTCGCATGTTTGGTATCGATGGTCCTCTGTTGAACTGGTTCAAGAGCTTCCTTTATGGGCGAAGTCAACGTGTCGCTGTAAATAATAGTTTTTCGTCCTGGAGTGTGGTCAAGTTTGGAGTTCCACAAGGCTCAATCCTTGGTCCCATACTGTTCCTGTTATTTGTCAACGATATGCCGGACATCCTAAAGACTTCGTCTTTGGCTATGTATGCAGATGACTCCAAATGTTTCAAAACTATCAAAGCTACTTCTGATATCTATGATCTCCAAGATAAAGCCATCTCCTCTGCAACAGGTCATCCCTCAATGAATTGTACTTCCAACCAACAAAGTGCCATGATTTAAGAATAAGTTGCAAAGTATCAGCCCACCCCGTGTATATAAACTAAACAATATCGAGTTGAAGCTTGTCGTGAAAGAGAGGGACCTTGGAGTTACAGTCCCTAAAGAACTCACATGGAACGATCACATTACCCTGACTGGCTCTAAAGCTAACAAACTTTTGGGGTTTCTTAAGAGGCACTGCCACACAATCAAGAACAAAAAAAGTCTTACCGTGCTGTATATTTCTTTAATAAGATCGCGTTTCAGTTTTGCTTCTACGGTCTGGGCCCCCCGATCAGTTATTAAGAATTTAATGCTTATCGAAAGGACCCAAAGACGTGCTTCCAAATTTGTCTGTAAATACACGAACATGGACTGTGAATATGAATTAATTCATCTCAATTCATTACCTGTTAACTATTGGCTTGAATATTTAGATGTTATTTTCTTCTTTATGTGCAAATTAGGAACTGTTAGCCTTAACTTAGATAATTATGTTAAATTTTGAGATACCAAATTACGTCGTAGTACTACGGGGCTATATCTGGCAACTCCATATTTTAGAACGTCGCTTTTTAGGGATTCATTCTTCATCAGGATTTCAAATATTTTGAATGCCATTCCTGATCATGTTAAAACTGAAACCACGCTGTTTTCCTTTAAAACTAAGCTCAAATCTTTTTTTTTCTTAGGTTGAATCAGTTTTTGATGGAGACAATGTCAGCACCTTTAAGTTAATCTGCCCTGAATGTCGTAAAGTTAATGTATCCTCTATTTGTTCTAACTAATGTTTTGATATATCTTTTGTATTTTTTTTTCTTCTTTCCTCGTAGTGGGTTGCGTTCATCCCAGTAATCTAAACTATACTTTTGGGGTCAGGTTTTCAGGATATAAAAACCTAGTAGGGGAATTAGAGTGCTATTGCTTCTACACCTACCTTACGGTAAATCTTTAGATAAAAAATAAAAAAATTAATAAAGATTTTCAAAAAGAAATTTATCTTACTCGTTTGCAGCCCTTAGTCGTGAGATATTGTTTATGCCACTCGAACATAACATTTATATCTTCTCGACACCGTGTATTGAAAAAACGTTGCACAAAGATCTCCATATTAGGGATGTTACGCGATCGCGTAACATTAAGGCAGTAAAAAGCCGTACAGGGCAGCGAGATGCTATCTGAAAGAAGTAAGGAAGAAAAGCGAAGAAAAAGGAAGAAAAACGGCCAAATGATAAAAATGTTCGTTGACTTTGCTAGGTCGGGCGCGGTCATGACGCACCTCGCGAATCAGTAGCTGTTTAACAATAATAAAGGAAGAAAAGGGAAGAAAAAGAAAGAACGATGCTTAAATGATGAAATGCTCATTGACTGTGTTAGGTCGGGCGTGGTCATGGCGCACGAACCTCGCTACGCTAAAAGCATTTCTGTAAAGCTTCTTACCTTAAGAATCAAGGACTTCTCAGTGGATTCAGGATCAGTAGCCGTTCAGCAAATAACGCAGACATCTCGAAGCTGTTATTTCATACAAGGCTGGTACAATGCTTGGCATTTATTCTCTTCAGCAAGCAATGCTTTAAAACGAAACTTCAAGAGATGATACAGAAATGGAGCGAAAATTGGCAACTTCCTTTTCACCCTGACAAATGTGAAGTCCTAAGTGTTACCCATTCGAGAGATCTCACCAGCTATCCTTACAAGCTATCTAGTTGTACGCCGCGGCTTCGGTGTGTCACCCAAACGGTGAATTTGGGGGTCTCGTTGTCTTCAAATCTATCCCGGAACACCCATACGCAGAAAGTTGTAAATAAAGCCAATTAGGT